CAAGGAACACAGAAACATAGAGAAAAGTATCTATTTTCAATACAGTGGGTAAAACTTTCCCGCCAAAGAGACTATCCAAGTGGAATTTTCCCCCACGACAAACTTTTGCCCTCATCTTCTGGGACTTTCTATACCACCATGATGACCCTTTAGTGCCCTCAGTTTCTTATCTGTTGTATAAAATCCTTGGGCTTCAATTTCTTGGAATTCTGTAACAAGTCTAATTAAGTTTTGATTTTAGCTTAAACTGGCTAATGGGCATTTATTACATATAACCCATAAACTCCATAAATTTATCATTCAGGTGACAGCCACGTACAAAGGGGCCACACAAGGAAGTTGCCTGCTGCTGCAAACTCAGCGCTGCCCAGGTCACACTTCCCCTCTGTGCATGGAAGCAGTGTGGGCAGCATACAGGGTTGTGCCCCTCACTGCTACCCCCACCTGCAGGGGAAGCGTGGCCAGAGCAGCAGGGAGCTCCTCGGAGCAGGAGGCAGCTTTCCGTGCCCCCCGCTGTGCCCTGGCGCACTGGGTTCCAATGCTGCTCTGCAGAAGCAGCAGCTAGGGCAGCACAGTGGGGAGCATTGCCAGTATCTGCTGCCTCCCGGGAGCCTGTGGCTGGGTCTGGGGCTGGGAGGCAGCAGATGTTAGCAGCTGGCCCAGGTTCTGGGTAGCTGCTGATAGCCACGGAGCCCTGGCTGCTTGCAGCAGGGCTTCCATCCTCCCAGCACCTGCTGGGAGCAGCCTCCATGGCTATCAACAGCTACCTAGAGCCTGGGCTGGCTGCAGCCAGGAGGCTACAAACAGCTGCTGCCCTCCCACCCCGGCCCCAGCTGTCTCCTGGCCCTGGGGTCCTGGAAGGCAGCAGGTGCCGGTACTGCGCCTTTCGGACCGGGCCGGGGGCAGGGAGGCAGTAGCTGTTTGTAGCCTCCCAGCTGCAGCCAGCCCAGGCTCTGGGTAGCTGCTAATAGCTATGGAGCCTTGGCTGCTCCCAGCAGGGCTTGCAACCTCCTAGCTGCCTGCTGGGAGCAACCTGGGCTCCTGGCTGGCAGCAGCTACCCAGAGCTGCAGCTGGATGCAGCCGTTAGGCTGCAAACAGCTGCTACCTCCCGGCCCCAACGGATGCCGAGGAAAATGGCCTTGTGTGCCATGCTCGGCATGTGTGCCAGGGATTGCCGACCCCTGGTTTAGACATTAAGGGTTGCCTGTAGACATGCCAGGAGGCTGCTCTGGTGCGCTGTAATTACAGTGTGTCTGTAATTAATTGAGTCTGCTGCAATGTGCTAATTATTGTACCCCAGCCAGCCTCCCTGTCTGGTGTATCAACCTCCCCGCACTTCAGAATGGTGGCAAGGATGTTTTAACTAAAGCTTGTTGAACAAGCTTTAGTTAAAGCACCCCCACCACCATTTTGAAGTGCAGGGACACTGATGCATGAGATGCTGCAATGCTTTAATTAGAGCGGCTCTCAGAGCCACTCATATTAAAGTGTGTACCCCCGCGGTCCCTGGAACACATGTAAAAAACCCCTAAGGCTGCTTGCAGATGTAACCCCCCCCCCCCCAATTACACTTT